AATCTGTACTTTGTTAATATGTACTTTTTGTTTTGTAATTTTTGTTTTGATAATTTTTGTAACGGTTTTTCTTGTTTAATACTTTTTGTTTTGGTATTTTTTATTTGGTCAGTATTTGCGATAACATTGAATTATTGTAAATTTATTATATTGCAATATTGCTATAATATTGAGTTGCAATATTCCAAAAAGCAGATATTTTAACGTTGCTGCAACCCAAAAACAACGTTGCAGCAATATTTCGCAATGAAATCGTAATATTGCAATATTGCGAAATAACATTACTGCAATGTTGCTGCATCATTGCTGTGCTGTATGGGCTATGTCGCTTTTGGCTACTTTTCTCTATCCAGTGCAAAGGAGAAAAAGTAATTGAAACAAGTTAAAACAGATAAATACGCATTGTTTGAACAATAATTATCAATATTATTTGTTGTTATTATAAATATTTAATGAAAAAAGTTAAACGTGACAACAGCGCACCATATAGTATGTAGCTTGTACGTTGACAGTAATGCACTATGCAGCCCTTATAGAAATATCATACTAAGAATCATTGATAATTACTTATTATCCAGTATTTTTAATACTGAAAATAAGTAATTATCAATGATTCTTAGTATGATATTTCTATAAGGGAGGCAGGTTAAATAAAACACTAAAAGTCTCAAATTTCATTCTTATCCTATTTCATTTCCTCTGTTTATCAAAATTACTTAATTTGTATTCTTGTCCTCTGCATAAAACAATGCAGAGGACAAAACAAGACTTTACGATGTAACTTTACCCTTATAGAAATATCATACTAAAAATCATTGATAATTACTTATTATCTAGTATTTTTATTACTGAAAATAAGTAATTATCAATGGTTCTTAGTATGATATTTCTATAAGGGTATTATTTAAAAAAAAAAAAGTGAAAAAAGACGCCAAGTTGACGCGTTTGTCTGCACGAGTGGAATTATACAAAAATTAATGCTTCTGTAAAAAATATTTTATTTGTAAAATAACACATTTGAAAATGTTAATAAGAAATATTGTTGTTTAAACTTCTATTTTTTTTTACATAAAACGTAATATCAGGTAGTTGAAAGTGAAAATAATTCACGCGTTTCGCTACATACATAGAATTATATAAAAGCAAACATGTTCATATATGAAATATTTCACATACATTTCAGAAAACATAAATACAAAGACGTTAGAACATTATTATTTAAATTTTTATTTTCTACAAACATTTTATGTTAAAAGATAATTAGAGCAAACGAAAATATCATTGCGTATATAACAGCTTTGTGTATATTCATACCTCATATGGTAACTATTGACTTCTTTTTATTGGTAAATTAAGGGTCATACAAAAAACACTTGGCGTGCCTAGGTATATAAATAATTTAAATATATTTTCTAAATAGTATTTTATATATCAATTTGTAAAATTCAAAGTAACTTATTGCGACACAGGCACGCCAAGTATTTTTTAAGTGACTCTAAATTTTATTTTATTTTAATTTTTACATGGTTATCAATAAAAAGAAGTTAATAGTTACCACATGTGGTGTGAATATAAACAAAGCTGTTATATACGCAATGTTATATACGCAATTTTCGTTTGATCTAATTATCTTTTAACATCCCTTTTGTAGAAAATATAAATTTAAATAATAATGTTTTTAACGTCTTTCGATTTATGTTTTCTGAAAGTATGTATGTGAAATATTTCATATATAAATATATTTGCTTTTATATATTGGGAGTGCGAATAAGTTCTCGCCGTTTTTTGTGAAAATAAATCCTTTATTTAAAAAAAATAACAAAAAAACAAGTCAATTAAAGTATTGCCCATCGCTGGAGACTACTTTTTCCCATCTTTCTGGCAGCATTTGAATTCCACGTCGAAAAAACGACACTTCTTTTGCGGCTATCCACGAATCGATCCATTTTTTTGTTTCTTCATACGAAGTGAAAGTGCTGCTCAGCCAGGCCGTTAGTCATCGATCGAAATAAATATTAATCAGAAGGCGCAATGTCTGGAGAGTACGGCGGGTGGGGTAGGACTTCCCATTTCAGCGTTTTCAGGTATATTTTGACCGGTGACGCGACATGCGGCCGAGCGTTATGATGCAGCAAAATCACCTTATCGTGTCTTTGCTCATATTGCGGCCGTTTTTCTTTCAATGCTCGGCTCAAACGCATCAATTGTCGTCGATAGAGATCTCCTGTGATGGTTTAGTTGGGTTGGAGCAGCTCGTAATACACTATCTCCAGCTGATCCCACTAAATGCAGAGCATGAGCTTGGAACCGTGGATATTCCGCTTTGGCGTTGATGCTACTGCTTCGCCGGGCTTAACCCACGATTTTTTACGCTTGGGATTACTGTAGTATATCCACTTTTCATCACCAGTCACAATACGATGTAAGAAACCTTTCCTTTTTTGTCGTTGAAGCAGCTGTTCACTCGTGACAAGACGCCGTTTGACGTCTCTCGGCTTCAGTTCGTATGGCACCCAAGATCCTTCCTTTTGTATCATTCCTAATGCTGTCAAACGTTTCGAAACTGTTGTTCGATCAACTCCTAATGATTTTGCAATATCGGATTACGTCTGACATGGATCTTCAGCATGTAATGTTTCCAATTCTTCGTTTTGAAACTTTTTTGGTGCACCACTGCGTTCTCTATCTTGAACATCAAAATCACCATTTTTAAATCGGTTAAACCAATCTCTGCATGTTCTTTCCGACAGAGCATGATCACCATAGGTTTCTACAAGAATTCTGTGTGCTTTAGCTGCAGATTTCTTCTGAATAAAGTAGTGCAATAAAATTCCCCGCAAAAACGGTTTACTTGGCACGAAATTTGACATGTTTTACGCTACGAAAAGAAAATGTTCTTTATAGATTAATGGAAAGACACGCACTGATTTTAAACATAGGTTATAGAACTTCAATATAGATGCGTCATCATCTTGAATTATACACACAAAATTTTTATACCGCCATCTGATGGTAAAACGGCGAGAACTTATTCACACTCCCAATAACTCTATCCATGTAGAAAAACACGTGAATTATTTTCACTTGGCCTAACTACTTGATATCATGTTTTTTGTAAAAAATAGAAGTTTAAACAAAAATATTTCTTATTAACATTTTTAAATATGTTATTTTATAAATAAAATATTTTTTATATAAACATTAATTTTTGTATAATTCCACTCGTGCAGACAAGCGCGTGAACTTGGCGTCTTTTTTCATCTTTTTTTTTTAAAAGGCTTGTTCGAATATCACATCTTTTTCATAAATGATTGAACATCTATTAAGCACACACAAATTTGACATAAGTTTAATAAATAATTATAATTTTAGGAGACTTGCGTATCAATTTACAGGAGGATACATTAACAAGAGATACTACACTATTTTTTCTATAAACGTTTGGCTTATATGTACGATGCGAGCGCTCAGTTGCTTCGAAACGTCGAGTAAAGGCGAGAATATCATTCTCTTTTTCTCTCTCTCACTTGCTGTTTTGAAAGACGGTCGCGTCAGCGAGTGAGAGCGAGAAGGAGAGAATGACATTCTCCCTCTCACTTGTGCGACTCTTGCTTTGTTTTATACGAGATATTGCTGTGGCTGCGTTCGTTTTGGCGCTCTGAGCATCATTTCACCCTTGTTTCTATCAATACTAAACAAAAACAAATGATGCTTACACACGCTATAAGCGCCAAACGAACACAGCCCGTGTCTCTTGACACCAACACATGTTTACGACCTAACCACGTCCATGCCTCGCTGACTGCGTCTCTGACGGAAAAAGGCTGAGATGCCCAGATAGAAATGCGTGATGATCATGCTTTATCACAATGTGACTTCATACTACCCTTATAGAAATATCATACTAAGAATCATTGATAATTACTTATTATCCAATATTTTTAAACTGAAAATAAGTAATTATCAATGATTCTTAGTATGATATTTCTTTAAGGGTATGACTCCAATTTGATACTTTTTTAAAGATCATTACGTGATCTCATGACATGAGCACCAGATACACACAAATGATGTACAAATTATGTTACAAATTCTTGACATGATATTGATTATTATTATTAAATATGGTATTTTTGTGACATCATAACATATCTACATTCTGAGGCGAATATGAGCCCGCATCGGTATCTATTCTTGTCTTCATGCTTGAAGATACATAAATACAATATGAGCTCAAAATGAACACATTTTTCTATCTGCGTAGTTGGTCGGCGTACGTTATAATATACGCGACTGGTCTCACACCGTTCCTCACTTCGCGCATTTACTTGGCGCGAGACGCTACCGCGTCTCTTGATACTGATTTATAGGTTATTCGTTTGACACACGCAGCTAATTGCAACTTTCCCGCATTTCCATAGTCCAGTTACTAACTCCTTACGACAATTAAAAAATTGTCACAAATAAAAATTAATTTTTCTGAAACCGTGTTGTGAAAACTAATCAAATTCTGAAAATAGTTCCAATAATTCAGGATCTATGTGTATAAAAATACTTTAACTTTTTGTATTATTTTTTCTATACGTTTTTACTTATTATATTCAGGAAAGTTGCTTTTGTCATAAGAATACATGTAAAAAATTAACATAATAATTACTTTTCAACGATTTAGTGAATCGACTTAATTTTTTTGGTATATTATAGATAATAAAGGAAAAGTTACCCAAAGTTTTATCAAATTGGTATTTTTATATAACTCAGATATATCCTTAATCTTGAGTGAAACATTCACTTTGTGGTTTCAAGTAGCAGTATTTTCATTATCATCTTGAACGAAAATATTGCTACTTTTTACTTTTCAAAATTAGAAAATATAATCACATGTGCGTATGTGTATGTGCGCGTGCTAAAAAAGGCAAAAATATTATTTTTTTATTACATGTATTCAATATATTTATTAAAATAGCATTGTTAATAGTTTAATATTAATTACAAATTAGGATTGAAACTTATAAATACGACGATAAAATAAAAGCGGCGGAGGAATTGAAGAATGAAAAACAAGATCTAAATAATATGTGCCAAGAATTGAAATATACGAAAGAAATGGAAATGCAAAGAGTATGTATTAATATTTGTAGATAACATATTTAATATTAATCAATTTCAAATTATCAATTTATTTATAGATAGCGAACAGAAAGAAAAAATTTCATCAATTGCTAAAAAATGCACTAGAGGATAAAAAACGATTTGAACTGAAATTAAAACATGACGAAGAGATCCAGGATCTGGAGTTGGAAATCTTTGGCAAGACTAAAAACCGAATACAGGAAATACATAAATCGATAAAAATGAGAGAAACAAAAGAGAGAGAATGTCAGAAGCAGATCGCAGGTTTTAGATGATACTCTCTTCTCGTGAAATACAAACTTTAGACTTGATAAAGATAGGGATAAGAACTAACTATTAAAGATAGGGATAAAACAGAACTACGATGGTTTACAATTAATTCTTTTTTAGTGGGACATTATGGCGCAATTGCACAAATCTGCGAAAAGAAAGAACGAAGAATCTTACAAAAAACTAAGGAAGAGACCGAAGCGACCGAAGTAGAACAGTTAAAAACGAATAAAAAAAGAGAGGAAGAAATATATGCTCGCAGGAAAGAATATAAGTTTCAAGATCAAGCGTCTAAAATAAAAACAAAGGATCGAAGACAAAAAGAGAAAGAACTGAGAAAATGGGAGATGATGCAAAGATTTAAGAAGGACGAATTTGACAAACAAAACAACTCAGAAGAGAATAAGCGACAATGGCAGCAAAAATTAGCATATAGAAAGGAATTACAAAAAGATATCGTAAGAATATATTTGTTTGACATAACAATACAAGAAACTTTAGTAACTTTTAGTAACTTTTATACTTTACATATAAGATGCATAAAAAAGATCGACAACTTGCAGATTTCGAAAAATAAAAAATGTGTCTTAGACAAAGCTTATAAGGTTTAAAAAGTATGTTTACTGATTTTATTAATTTGACTTTGAGTAACATCGTCAAAGTCAGAGCAACGTCACACTGACATTTTTAAATGGAACTTTCTATTTTTTATTAAATACTCTTATAGCCCTTTCAAAAAGATTTTTTCAAAACATTATAATTTTATCTATTTTTGGTCAGTAGATTCGAAGTTGTCGAAGTTTATATAGTAAGATGTCGTTGAGTGCAGTTTTACTCAAGATAAAATAAGTTAAGATATCATTATCGTATTATACCTATGTATGGAGGAAGGTAGATGGTAGGTGATGTATAGGGGTGTATATCAGTTGGACATGAGGCAATTGAACACAGTCCAATCACAAGTCGCTGTTCCAAGGGACCCTACAAATGTCTCTAATCACACGGTGCTGTGATTGGCTGTGTCCAAATGCACCGTGTCCAAGTGCACCGCTCCCGATGTATAGGCCCCGATTTCGGTCCCGGACTTGAAATTTAATGTACCTCATCGGAAAGAAAAAGTAGTCCTGGCATATTTTTCTATAATAAAAACTAAAGGTTATCACTCAAGAAAATTAACTTGGGCCTGCTTAGATTCAAATTGGGCTTCGAGCTTAAAATCTAATCGACATAGTCGGAAAAAAATGTTCTAAATACGAATAAAAATAGATCAATCGGCCTCTGCTTAACTTTCTCAATTAAAACCTTTATTTCTTATTGAGGATTCAGATTCCATGTATTTTATTTCAGCAGAGGTTATTTTTAGAAATTGATTATACCCACATAACATTAGAATATTTATAGCATATTCCATGTATAACATGGATTCCATGTATTCCATGTATAACATCTATGTATATTGCATATCCTATGTATGTACACTTAGGGTACATGGTATGTGGTATGTACACGCACCGGCGTTAATGCCGTCCGAATATCCGTGTGACTCGCACACGATAACGCGTCACTCATACACTGCTGCGTGTAGGTGAGCTAAGAGCAGCACGGAGTGGCGGAGGGAGCTAGCGGTATACGATCGTCGGACGCTTGGAGAGGGAATAGTGGTGGAAGTCGCGGCGATCTTCCATCCTCTATCGCAAACGTAAGAACGAGAGAAATAGCATTATAAGACGTCTGGACAGAAATGCCGTCCTAAAATACGTGTGACACACACTAAGAAAACGCTTGACTCACACTGTCTCGTCTATACGTGAGCAATACGCGGTGTCCCGACGATTG